TCTGTAAATGTCTGTACAATATTGAGTACATTTTTTAGAGACCAGTTTTCACAAAGTACTTAGTGAAAACAGATGCCACAAAATAATCTTCTTATCAAACAAGTACAATGGACAGTAAGTGCCTTTCAAGTCACACAAGTATCTAAAACAAGCAAATAAAACAGCAGATGCTTAATGATTCTCCACTTATATATTAGAATGTATGTTTGTTTCATGTTGAAGTCTGGGATCTTTGATTATCAGTTCCTTCTAATTTTCAGTGTATTGTTACTTAAAGCTGTCATTAATAAATGATACTATTTAACACAGTCAGTAATACACAGTCTGCTTAGTAACACTTAATTCCAAGTGAAATACCATCTGTCTGAGTATACTGTTTTGCTTGTTGGCCAACATAGCTGCAGTTTTCTATATTTGACATTCTTTATATTTTAACCAAGCTGACTCCAATATATCTTTTGTAGACAGGCTCATATAACACAGAGAGGTTACAAGTTTTAATAATGGGAAAAAAAAGGGCATCAGTTTTAGGCCCACAAGTAAAAGGGTCCCCCGGGTTACTTGAAAGTGGCAAAAGCTGGTAAATTTTAAGATGTTAAAGAGTTTTTATTTCAAAGTGAAAGCCCAGGATCGATTTAACTAAGCCTATAACTGTTGTCACCCCATTTCTAAATCCTGTTCTAACTATCCTGTAAAAGAAAGATGGTTATACTTACCTATTCTGAAGGTGCTCCAGTCTGGTCACATGATCTACCCATCGACTGACCTCAAAGGAGAGAAGAGATCGCTGATCCTGGCTGCAATGCCTGTGTGGTGACAGCACCCATAGGCTTACTATGGGGCAAATGTTGTTGGCTGTCCCTCCTCTCCCCTAAGCTGCTGCTGGGAGCCAATCAAATGACTGATCCAACCTGAGAATAGGTAAGTATAAGCAGCTTCCTTTCACAGGGTAGTTAGAATAGGATTTAGGAAGGGGTGGGAGCAGGTTTTGGCTTAGATCAATCTTTGACTTCCACTTCAATATCCTGAGACTCCACAATATTTGTAGCCAAGTCATATTACTGTTGCTTTAGAGTGAACCTGTGCTTCATACATGTGCATCCCCCTCCACACACACAAACTTTTTCTTGCCCACTGAAAGCCAATGGAAATACCCTTAAATATGTGTGTTTACATGCTTTAAAGGCAGACATGTATGTTCTATTAAGTGAATGTGTAATTTACCCATGCATTGTAATGGTGGCCCCAGCAGTAGTTTATAGTTATCTTTCCTTCACTCCCCCAGCACTCTGTTTGGCTGCTCAGAGCAAAGAGAAGATCTATGTAAGCACCTGTGCAGTTGAATAGCAGCCCCATTATTTTTACTCTCTGTCACCCTATGTGAGCTCCAAGTCACAATTTACAGTTTGTTGAAGATGCCTTTCTGTTGATGATTGGACTGGCTGCCTGAATGGTCAATCATAAAGCAGCAGCATTATTATGTGAGTCACATGCTCAGTGTTGCCAACCTATCAGATGGAAATTCACTGACATGACACCCAAATCTTACTGGCACAGCCAAGTTTTAATTGGCATTTCCAAAAGTTACAAAATTACAGTTTTAAGTACAAATTTCAGTATTTAGGCTACAAACAAGTACAATATCAATTAGCAATGTAATTTAAGGTAGGTATTAAGGAAAAAAAACATATTTCTTTATTTTTAATATAATAAGTAAGTAGCTCAGGGATGGGACTCAGGAGGGCAAGAAATTAGAATGGGCAGGCACACACACACATGAAACTGACTCTTAAAGGGATTCTGACAGCAGTGTGCAGCAGCACAGATGATGATGACACCTCACCGACATGACAAATCCCCTCCTGAGTCACAGAGTGACAGTCTCTCTCTACGCCAGGTCGTTCCTTCAGTCCACTCCAGTCCAAACAGCTCCTGGCTTGTCTTGCTCCTGTCCTACAGACCTGCACGCAAGGCTTCAGCTCCCTTGCACCATGACATTTGGATAGTCTTGGATGTCTCCAGCATGCGCAGTTCCAAGCCGAGCATCACAGCCATATCTTTAACTGGCAAACTTTTTCTGTCACTGGCATTAACTGGTAGGAAAAGTGCCCATTTTTTTCTGGCTGCCAGTAACAATACTGATGGTTGGCAACACTGCACATGTTTCCCTTACCCTGAATTTGAATGTTTCTTTTCCCTCCAGGTGCCAAGTAGAGGATCAGGTGAGCTAAGGGAAGGTGAATATTTGCTGCTGTTGCAAGCACCATTAATTTTTTGCAATCTGGATACTGTTAAAGAAAATGATGCTTTTAAAGATTAATTCCACTGAAATGTTTCTTTTTGTTTGTAACTAAATGGGGAAGAGATTTAAGTGAGGTGAGGAAAAATCTGCAACAGAGATGCAAACAGCAATAAAAGCCTAAAGTCGGCCATAGATGAAGCAATTTATTTTCCTGCAACCACGGGTTGCAGAAAAGAAAATCCCGCCGGGAGTTATCATAGCTGCTAGCAATAATCACAAGTAAAATCTGACAGGTTGGTTGCAGCCTGCCCATACATGGTTCGAATCTCAGCTGGTCCCTGCTGAACTGGCTGAGATTCCATCTGTCTATAGCTGGCTTAAAGCGGAGTTCCACTCACTCTGTCAAAAAATAAAAGTCAGGAGCTGCAAAAACTGTAGCTGCTGACTTAAATAGCCACTTACCTGTCCCTCGGTCCCGCAGTGTCCCCCCTGCAGCCCGTTTCACCGGCTCCTGTATTCCAGGAGGCTGGCATTTTCAGTGTGGGCACCCGGCTGTGACAGCTTGCAGCTTCACAGCCAGGTACCCACTGTGCATGTGTGAGTAGCGCTGCACTTCATGAATGGTCCTGTAGTCTTCTGGGACCTGTCACTTGTCCCAAAAGACTACAGGGAGGGAGGGAGGACACCTTCCACTTCCGATCGTCTAGGCGATCGGACCGGAAGTGGGAGCGGGTACCTGTCAAATTCGGGTACTCACTCCCCCCACCTCCAAAAGGTGCCAGTCCTTAATGGGGAGCGGGGGAGCAGTCCTTAAAGTGGAACTTCCCCTTTTGAGTGGAGCTCCGCTTTAACATGGGTTCTAACCTTCCTTATAACTGCTAAAAAAAGTGTTCTATGTCCCTGTTGAAGTTCCCTCACTTCCAGTCTTAGTATTTTTTTTAATAAAATGTGGCACCCATAGCAATATCACAATACAGGATAACCAGTTTTCTTAGTGGACATCGTGGGGTTTATTTACTAAAGCTGGAGAGTCCAAAATCAGACTCCCTTCTGCATAGAAACCAATCAGCTTCTAACCTCAGATTGTTCAATGAAGCTTTGGCAATGAAACCTGGAAGCTGATTGGTTTCTATGCAGAAGGGAGTCTGATTTTGGACTCTCCAGCTTTAGTAAATATACCCCCTTATGTCCTTTTGTTATAGTAAAATCATTAACCTATATTTCCATTGCAGACTTGGTACCTTTCTTTTTTATAACATACTGATACCAAACATTTGTTATCTCTATCAAAATGAGTATTCTTCTAACCTGGCATTTTGCACTTGACAGCACAGCCTGGTTCACAAACCTGAGTCTTGAGATGTTGTTGGTATGAGGTTGGATAGAGGATGGTATCACAATAAAAGAAAAAAGTGCATTTAGCTTTATTTGATATACCAGTGTGAAGAGCAACAGAAAAACACAAAGTAAAGCAATCAGAAATCATCTTTTAAAGTGAACCTTTCCAAATTCCAAGCATGTAAACATCATTATAGCTTAATGTGCTCTATAAACTGAAAACTACTTTTTACTTTAAAAAAAAAAAAAGAAAACACAGCACATTAGCTAATCGGCATCTGCCACCACCCCTTCTGACCACAGACATATGCAGAGAGCAATGATACATGTGACAGGAAAGGAAGATGCGACTGAGGACTGTGACTGACAGTTTGGCTTTACATTCTCTATGGTATGCAGGAGGCAAAATGGCATTGTCCAATGGCCAGATTCCAGGGTCAAAGAGGGCAGACTGGAGCTCACTTACTGATTTTATACTGATAATTTTGAAGAAAAAAACAGATGCTTCTCTTCATTTCTGTTATAAAACATAAATATCCTTCATAAGTTTAGACCAAGATGTATACTGTGGGAGGTGTCATACTTATACCTGTACAAGCAGGAAGCAGATGCAAACACACCTAATTCATGTGCCCACACGGCAATTAACTGCTATCACCATTTATTTAACATGTTTAAACTCCAAGCCAGGGGCGGACTGACCATTTAGCCACTCGGGCACTGCCCGAGGGCCCAGGGTCGGTAGGGTACCCCATGAGATGCCCCTAGTACCTTTCATAAGCTTTTTTGAGTGTGGGTGAGGACACAGGGGCCCCATTATCCCCTACTGCCCAGGGGCCCCATGAGTTGTCGGTCCGCCCCTGCTCCAAACCTTATTCCACTTTATTATGATAACCAATCCAGCGTTAGACCTGTCTCTGTCTGTTCCTCCTGATACAACTTCAAACATGCATCTAACTGTGCCACCTGACCCATTACCAAATTCAGAATTTTGCCAATATCCATTTTTCTGCTTCATCATCTTATCTTATCTGACAAAAAGCCACATCCTCAAGAGCAGAGGGAGGGGAGGCCTGGCAGTATGTAAAAACAGCCAGTGTTTACACTTGTGATCAGTGTGATTGGTTCCCAGCAGTCATAAGGCACAGAGTCACTCCACTTCAAGTGACTCCTTGAATTCTGCCTGTGATCACAGGCATTGTGCGTGTTCGTGGCATGTGCATACACTCTAACAAGAACATTTAGAAATATGCAAAAAAAAAAATCCACAAAGAGTAACACAGCTAGGTGGTGGATATTAAAATAAATATATTTTCTCTTTTAAAACCAGTTAGTAATAACAGTGAACATTTGTAAAACATTTGGTATTTTATTTTAACAGGTTGTGTCTTTTCTTGTCCTGTATTTATTCATTTAATTGGCACAGTAGTGCTGATCCTTTTGATACCCAGTAGTCACTTGGTCTCTTTGACGGTAAAAGCACAGTAACCACAAAATTAGTGGAATGACCTAGTAAAATAAAGCAAAAATAGGTAAGAGATCAGTTCCACTCATTGAAACCCCTGTATAAGCCCTCATGCACAGTTGACGTTTTTACAGCTGCTGTTTTTGGCTTCTGACATTTTTTTCTATAGCTAGTAAACCCCCCAGCATGTTATCCTATGTGTCCATGCACACATAGACTGTAATCAAGGTTTTTTGGCTGGAAAAAAAGCCCAGGACTAGTGGGTTTCTAGAGGAGTTTTTTAGCTGCAGAAACGCTGTAATGCTGCAAAATGTGGTAAAACACTGCTGCTAACCGGCGTTTTGGGGCTTTTTTTTACCCCAAAAAATATTTTTGTTTGTTAAAAAAAGGCTAAATAATGCAAATGCGGAAAATGGCGCTAATCATGGCAAATCGCCACTAAACGCTAAAGCGAAAACACAAAAAAAAAGCTGAAAAACAAACATTTTTAACGTGACTTTACACAGCTAACGTTACTAGCATTATCAAAACACCCCATGTGCATGAGGACTAAATGTTCAAAAGAGCCATGTCACCATAATGGTACATTCTTTTGACACAGGGTTGCGCTTTGGCATAGAAGATAGTGTTGTAGAAGAGGTGAATGTGCAAACAAGGGATTAATATTACGTTATGGAGAGTTAGTGTTAGGATTGGTTTCATAGCTAGGGTTACAGGAAAGTTTAGTACTAAGTTTGCATATAGGGCTAGTGTTAAGTCAAAGGTTAGAAGAAACAAGAAACAGGGAAGGCTAGTGTGAGAAGGGTATGACATTACATATAGAAAATGCAGCACATGCATATATATACATGAATACACTGAATATGCCTTTACATGACTTAACAGTGACAGTGTTATGTAAAACAATAATCCACGAATCCACTGAATGTGCACTTACAGACCTTAAAAGTGATAGTGTAATATAAAACAATGAACCACAGTGCTTGTGAACACTTAATAATGATCAAACAAGTCCCATATATTCCACACTGGCTGTATTTGGACAGATATATTCACAATTAAATCCTCAGTGCTTGTGACCACTTTTGTATAACATCAAACGTGATGGAAGTCCCATATAATCCATGATGATTGTATGTGCGCAAGTGTATTCACACCGCTATATTCTAGTGTACAGTGCTTCTGTGACACCCCTTTGGGCTCCTCCACCTTCCAACACACTTATGCGCTCACCTTAGCATTTAACATAATAACATAATAACAGGTCAAACTACGTTTTTCCCTTTTAACCCGGGCAGGTATATGTAAAGTACAACTTCTTCCCTCTCTTTGCCAATGTCCTGGGACACCGCAGTGTAAAGCTCACTGACACAGTGATCTTCAGCATATTTGGTTGCTGTTATCCCACTTGCAAAATGGCCGGTTTGTGGCTTGACGTCATCAGCCCACCCTACGCGTTACGTCACAACACGTGACTTCATCATGCGCTGCATTTTGTATTTATAATTTTGATCTATGTGGGAACACATTGCATGCCAGCTGCATAATTTAGATTAGGAGTGTATTCCGCTGAAGTTTTTTTCACAATATTGGGGTATGACATTACTCACTGTAATGCTTTTAAAAGGAGTAACCTGTTTTCTTGGGCTGGAAGTGAATGTATGTGAATAGGCAAGTCCTTTAGACATTCCATTTGTCTGTTCATATAAAGCCAGAGCGGTTCAACTAGCTATAGTAAAGTGGCTTAAAAGCAGTTTATCACTGCAAAAACATGAGTGAAAACTATATAAATAACTTAGTTCCAGAGCAATATGAGTAAACAAAGCCTCTTTTTCATGTCTCAAGGTCAGTCTGATGCTGTTGAGGTCATACCATTTAATTTCACAAGATTTACTAATTTAAAAAGTAAGTCTTAGCTTTATGCCCACATGATAGTGTTTTGAAAATCTTGGATTAGCAAAATTAGCTGCAATAGATCATAAAGCTGGATGAAATATAAAAAAGGGAAATTTGCTAAATGTGTAGCTTTCTATTACTTGCAGACTAGATTTAAAAAATGAGATCACAATCATAGGCGTTGCTGCAATCCAATACTATGACCTGCTTTTCAGTCATCAGTATACATGCCTAATGACATTTAAAGTTATATTAAAGTATTACTAAACCCAGAAACCTACATTCACTCTATCTGGTCTCCCAAAGTACACATAACATGAAAATGCAATTATTTTAGTAAATATAAACTGCTAAATACCTTTTCTCATCAGCAGTATATAGCAGTCTTGTGACTTCTATCACTTTCCAGCCGAGCACATGTTAAAGCTTGTAGGAGTTTTTCATTTTCCTCTGACTGTCCTATGAGAATGCATAACCCCTGAACAGAGCTGATTAGCCTTGTGTTGATCACATGCACCCTCTCAAAAAAAACCCCCAAAAAACTCTCTAGCAATTCACACCAAACAGAGCATGTGCAGAGTACCTCCTAGGGCTCTTTGGCCCTGTGATGATCACATGCACTCTCCCAAGGAAAAAAACCTCTCTAGCAATACACATTAAACTGAGCACGGGCAGAGTGTCTTCACACGATATGTGTTATGGACACTGGAAGAAGGGGAGGATCAGAGAAGTCAGAATCAAACAGCATTTAAACAATGCAGAAGATTAACCCCTTAAGTTCCACAGTTGGTATAACAGGGATGCTTTACCAAATTTACAGACTGATTTTACTCTTTTGGGTTTTGTAACACTTTAAAGCCATGATTGTTTAGGCATTTTTAGCTGCTGATTGTAATCACCTACTGAGTAAGCAGCGTCTTCATCTTTTTTATCCTTGTTCAGTTTAAGCTGGTGCCAAATAGTTTATTGAGGAATGATTATTTTATTGTGCTCAATGTTTTGAAGCTAAAAAAAAACACTGAGGGTTTAAAACTACTTTAAAATACATTTATTTCAGACAGTATAGTGGACACAGGGACTCTGGGCTCTGTAGATAGACAGGGCTTTGTGTTGATGGAACTTCGGGACAGAAAGAATTAATTATTTAACACAAAAGGGTGGATTTACTAAAGGCATATAGACTGTGCACTCTGCTACTATGAAGTTGGTGAAACTCTGCTGATTTTCATTATCCAATCATGTGCAAGCAAAAAGCTGTTTTTTATTTTCACCTGATTAGGTATGCTTTACTTAAGTTTCACCACTTTCACTAAGCTCTGGGGAAAATGAATGCAACTGCACTTGCAAAGTGTGCAGTCTATTTGCCTTTGGTAAAACAGCCGGAAAATATCAGAAGAAAGTGACCACCAAAGTATTCTGTAGACACGTGAGAGTTCCTCTGGCAAAGCTAAAAAAAAGGTAATGAAATTGGCTACATATATGCTTTTTGCCCTTATAGCCAAAGTTTTGTTTAAGAATATTCTTACCTGTGGTGGAAAGTGTCCCAGCTCTGGCTCCAGTCTTATAAAGTGGTGCTTGGTACAAACTGGAATTAGCTTGATAGTTTTGGCATGGTTCAAAGTGTATTACAGGTAGCATGGGATTCATTTGTCTTGGCAATGCATCCTCAATCACCATGTTTTCATCATCCCAGCGACTGGCATCCATATACATCCCATGAACTAACACACCATCCTCAGGAGTAGGTAGCTGGAAAGTGATAGTAAGTTACATATATAGTTACATAGTTAGTCTGGCTGAAAAAAAGACAAAAGTACATCCAGTTCAACCATTAAAAAAAAAAAAGTTATAATCCTACACCCACAGTTGATCCAGAGGAAGGCAAAAAAACCCAGCAAAGTATGATCCAATTTGCTCCTGCAGGGGAACAAATTCCTTCCTGATCTCCCGAGAGGCAACTGCATTCAATGTTTCTGTTGAATTTCAGAAAATGTCCTTTATAATACATTGAGAACAGCATGATGAACAACCTGCTGATTAGATCATTTAAGTTCTGGCTGCTGGCTATGTGATGAGGCATATTTGCTGAACTGTTTCTGGCTTATTCTGGTGTTTAAAACTGAACTCAGGGTAAATTACGGATTACATTTATATTACAGCCTGCTGTAAATAAAATGGAGGGTAGATTTTCTTCCAGATGCAATTTCTGCAATTGTTTGGTATGTCTCATTCCTACATTTGCACACTATATTGTTGAGAAGAATATAACAAAAAAAAACAGTTTGATCAGGCCACTAGTCCTGATCTACAGATATGTGCATGAGAGCACTGACATCTGAAAATTCACAAGGTCAAATATGAGAGTTAATTGCAGTACTAGTATATAAAACACTTATGTTTTCATACTTATCCAAAGTTCCCCCGCACCCCAACTATCAAGCTATAAGCTCTGCTTGCAATGAGCAGGCAGGGACTGAGACATTTAAAGTTTTTCTATTTAAGACTGTTAAGAGCCCATCTTATTACCAAGGAATTAAACACCCTGCTCTACACATGCACATTTTAGTCATGAGTAGTTTACTTCATTGGATGAATGAATGATGCATTCCTTTGGACAAAGGTAAATCAACAACTGAAATTTTGGACCTTAATATCAGGATCAATATTTTAGGGGCCTATTGATATTTGCTCATTTCTCTGCAGTAAAACACATGCATTTTACTGCATTAAAATGTATTTCATACATTTTCATAAATCCCAATCATTCCTTTTGTGGCAAGCTCAGATCTAAGTGCTACAGTCTAGTGTGATGTTTGAAAGGGAAACTTTAAAGACCTAATCACACATACATGCATGCATTACCAAATGAGATGAAATGTATGTGTAAAGGTGTGAATGGGCTGTAAAAGTTAATGTATGTTGAGCTCTATGAGATAAGTTTCAGGTGATGAGGTGTTCACAATCTGAGCTGAAAATAAACAGCAACATAAGACACTAGGATGTGCTCTGTTTCCTTCTATTCATCGGTTACAGTGTATGCCCTTGATCATTGCTCAAGACTTTCCTTCTGGATTCAAATAATTAATTTGTGGAGCCTGTTGACCATCATGCGGTCTGCAGAAAAAGAGATCAACCTGAAACAAGGGTGCAGAGACAGCACCAGCTGTAGATAAGCTCCAGTTTGGTCTACTCTATAAGTTGACTTACTCAAGGCAAACAGAATGTTCGCTTTGAAATAAGCTAGATAAACAATCTATATGCTTACAAAGGAATTATCCTCATAGAGGACAACCCCATTCAAATCGCAAAAAGAATCCATCAATGATGCCCCTGACGATGTCATTGATGACGAAACACGTAGAGGGAGCCAGAGCACAGGACATCAGCACGCACCGGAACGCGGCGGTCATCTTGTTGGTTAGAAACATACCATTCATTATATGGTGACATGCTGTTTTATATGATTATTTGATGTACGTATATTACTATGCTTTGAGGCAATACATCTAAATCATCTTACTACACTATGAGGATTGTTTTTGCAATTTGAATGGGGATAATAATCCTTTGTAGGTTCACCTTCTAGCCCACCTTCTGATGTGAAAGTTTGGAACAAAGAGTGTCCAGGTCTACGGCGTGCCTTTTGGAATTTATACAGTGCTTTTTGTCCCATCCATAAGTGGGGGTCACCATGATCTGGTAAGAGGCAGTGTTTGGTGATGCTGGACTTTTTTCTATGTTCTCCTTTTCATTTTGAGACATTAATAGCAGTACTGAAGTTCCAGTGAAGAGGGGCTTATTCTATATATCTTCATTTCTGTGGATTGGACTTCTAAGTTCAAATTTTTTTGAAGCGCCGCATTTCTGTATATTATTTTATGTGTGTTGTTACCTGCAATAATGTGGTGGCTGCTCATGTGGATTGAATTATTTATTCTTTCATCTTTTTATTTTAAATAATTTTATATACTATAGCGCGGAACTGTAAACATTTTTTAATCTATATGCTTACTCACTAGTAGACATTATTTTGTAAAATCCCTAGAAAAGATGTTTTTGCTTTGGATCACCCTAACATATGATCAAGAAAATCCACAGAAATGTTGGTTCTGCTTTGTGTCACCTAAGATATGATCTATGCAGTTATGCCCCAGCTAGATCCTTTGGGCTACCTTGAATCCAACTATCTTCGTGGGAATTCATTTGTTATTATTGTTACAGGTAGTAATTAAAATTAATTTTTAATTTTCTTACAGCTAGACCTGTAAATCAGTATCTTATTATTCAGGAATGTAGACGTTTGGACATATCAGTGATGCTAACATACTGTAAAAGGCATTTAAAAGGAACAAGGGTACTTTGCCCATTGGAGGCAGGATTGACAGTCTAAACTGGGTTGCATGTAATGGTCCTGTAAGCCTTATCTCTGTTGTATTTTAGCTGCACATTTTACAAGGTGGCTAGTACATAAGAAAAAAATAGGTTCACAATATTTCAGTCTAGCTTGACATTGCTTAGTTTAATGACTGTATTTGCAGTACATACTGTAATTTCCACAGAATGAACACATTATCGTGTAGGTGAAACACAATTATGTTTCTGGTCTTTTCATCCAAGGTGACTGAATTCAATTTTCTGCATCATCCACAAAGAATAGACAGTGTATAGACAATAGTAAAAAGATAATAAGCAATCATGTACTACGCAGTACCTGGGTTATATGAGATTATCAGGTCAAAACAGTTTACAAGCCTGGGTATTATTTATGATTGCACATACCTACTCTATAATATAACCTGTTCTGTGTACACTTTTATGTTTTGCCTCTAATACTGCACATATGTTAACTTAAAATAACACTGATATTAATTACTGATCAGTTTGCTTGTTTTTTTTCTTATTTAATCCTTTTATTATAAGTTTTCAATGCATTAACATACAATGTTGCTGTCATGACTTGGGGGAGATTTACTAAAACTGGAGCACTCCGAATTTGGTGCAGTTGTGCATGGTAGCCAGTCAGCTTCTAACTTCAGCTTGTTCAATTAAGCTTTGACAATAAAACCTGGAAGCTGACTGGTTACTATGCAGAGCTGCACCACATTTTGCACCATGCAGTTTTAGTAAATAATCCCCACAGTGTAGATACAGGGAGGAGGTAGAATAGCTTGCATAATCACTTACCAAACACCCTATAGCAGTTTTACTGCTACAGGTAAGCCGCCCTGTGCAGATTATACATATTCTGCGGGTAGGGGACAAGTGTTTCCCCCTACAAGCACTCTCAGTGGCCCCCGTAAAAGTCAGTCATCAGGTTCTTGACAGCTCTTTGATTGGTGAAGGAACTGACAGGAGAGAGAACTGTGAATGTATACAACACAGATCTATCCCCTGTTAGCGGGGATGTGCTAGTTTTTAACTCCCTGCAAAGCAGGACGATAAAAACAGCACATCCCCCAGTAGAACAGTAAACAGTAAAAGCACTCCTTAACACACAGTCAACCCTTTGATCACCCCAGGTGTTAACCCCTTCCTGCCCAGTATCACTAATACATTGACAGTGATTTTTATTAGCACTTGATCACTGTATTGGTGTCACTGGAGATGTCAGTGCCAGTTAGTTAGTTCCCACCCAGAGTCAGTTAGTGTCAGAATGCTGATTCTGAGGGCTGATTGGCCCTGTGCTGATCACATGCACTCTCCAAAGAAAAAAAAAAACCTCTCTAGCAATACACACCACACTGAGCATGTGTATGTGACTATGGATTCAGTCTGTATCAGGTAGTCATTTCAACAAGGAGGGGCAGAGAAGAAAGGATCAAACAGCCCTTTTACACAATGCAAAGGATTAACCCCCTTAGGTTCCACAGTCAGTATAACAAGCATGCTTTACGGCATATACAGACTGATTTTACTGTTGTGGGTTTAGTAACACTTTAAGTGGTTAAGACGTGTCATATTTGCTTTGTTGTCTTTATTGCTCTCATGACAGAAAGCCAGTGCAAATCTCTCCAACAGGAACATGGGTTAGCAGAGTTGGAATGTGTGAAGTAAAGGGAAATCTCACCAACTGGAACACCAACAACAAAAAGTAACCAAACTTCTAACTGTTCTCCACTTCATAGAGATGGGCTTTAATATTTTATTATCATCTGTTTACACAAAGGAATTTGGTGTTTTATTTATATGTTTTAATTACACAGCCAAAATGTACTTGCTAGAGGCCGTAGCGCTGCAGGGAAATCACTGTGGGCAGTTTGATAGTGCCACTAAAAGGCCAGTAACTTCATGCAAAATCCGTCTGAAGGAAAAGCAGTTCCTCTTGTCAACAGCAATCTAGGACAATCTCCTCTTCATTCCATAATATTTTCTGGTGTCCCTCTACATGTACAGTTACCACATACTGAAATTGTATACAAGATTTAAGGCCTTGATTGGTTGGAAAAATTGAAGATTTTAAAAATAATATACAGGAACATACGTAGGCTAAGCCAAGGAAATATCTCTCCAAAGCCTGTGCAGCACTAAGGGGCACACAGACATCTTTAGTCTGCTTCAATACCTATTAACGCTATCAAATGGTATATGGTATAACGCTATCAAAGAAAACCGTATATATATATATATATATATATATATATATATATATATATGTTTATAAAATACATTAAAAGCTGTTTTACAAGTGGTCTGACTTCAGGGATATTTTTGCAACTCCAGGGAATGTCTGTGGAAATCAATTATGAATCAGGAGACAAGGCCACAGCTTGGCACCAGTGATCATTGGAGTTCATTGCATTTACATCCCCCTAGTTCCATTTATTTTCTTTCCTTGCAAGGTCTAATGCACTGTTGTTAGAGACAAGTGTACATAACCAACACCATACAAAGTACCGTATATACTCGAGTATAAGCCGACCCGAATATAAGCCGAGGTACCTAATTTTACCACAAAAAACTGGGAAAAACTATTGACTCGAGTATAAGCCGGTGGTGTCAGTGGGGGGAGGAATAGTGCCCCATCGTTGGGGGGAGGAATAGTGTCAGTGGGTCAGGGGGAAAATAGTGCCCCATCGTTGGTGTCAGTGGGGGAAGGAATAGTGCCCCATCGTTGGTGTCAGTGGGGGGAGGAATAGTGTTCCATCGTTGGTGTCAGTGGGGGGAGGAATAGTGCCCCATCGTTGGTGTCAGTGGGGGGAGGAATGATACTTACCTTGCTGACCCCTGCTCCAGCCTGGGCTCGCTCGCTCCCTCCCTCTCCCATGGTACACACTTACCGGTCAGATGTCTTCCTTCTCCGGTCCGCTCTCCTCCTCTTCACTCGCTCGATCTTCGCGGTGCCTCTCGGCTCCTCCTCTCCAAGCTCCACCTCCTCGCCGGTGATTGGGCGCCTGTGTGCCTCTCCTGAGCTACAGTTCCGGCGGCCAATCACCGGCGAGGATTGATCCCGGGGGTGTGTCCAGATGACAGGGACGGCATGTCATCCCGCGCACACCTGGAGACGGATAGAGGAGCGGTCCCTGCTAGACATCTGCAGACGTTAACTCAAGTATAAGCTGAGGGGGCCGTTTTTCAGCACAAAAAATGTGCTGAAAAACTCGGCTTATACTCGAGTATATACGTATGTATTCTAGTCTATCAGATCACAAAGAGTTAAAACTGTTTGTACGTTCACAAATGTACCCAACTTTTTTTGTAATAGAGTAAAGATTAGAACTTATGACAAGTTCTTATCAGTGTCTGTGTGCTCATTGGGGAACTTTTAATACATTTCTGATGAACACAACAGCAAAGCTGGAATGGGAAATATTCACACGGGTTAATCGACAGCATAAAAGAAACTTTACAAAGGTTCTAATGCTACCCTATTAAATATTATATTAGACCTCTACTTCAAAAGGTCATTTGAACCACAAGTTTTCTTATACTGCCATGTCCCTAGCTGATAGATGACAAATACCGAAGGTGCAAATTTTCAGAATTAGTAAGCATGACCAAAGTTTCAAAATGTATGCATTTCTCTTTACTACAAAATCACGTAAGCTTACTTAGACAAAAATGATCTATACCTGTTTATCCATTGGCAGCTCTTCTCCAAACTTGATGTTTTTAATGGCCTCAATGACAGCTGCCTGGTCTCGATAAAATGGAAGAATGTTGTAATGGAAACTAAGTTCATCTATAGGCAAGTTATATTTTCGAGCATGGTTTTGAAGTGTTCCTAAAACAAAAGAAGGTCACTTAATATAGACAGTTATATTATATTATATACACAAAACTGTAATACAGTAAAACATTTTTAAAATGAACCTGTGTTTTCAGTTCTGTATTCTCTGGTCATAAAGGACTCTGCAGGAACAAGTAGCTTATTAAACATTTATGTAGGTTTATGTACATAGGAGCTTAGGTGGTCTCCAAACTCTGTCAACTTTTATTTGCATTTAGTGGCCCTGTACACTGCAGACACAACCCACATGGAAGAAAAATATATTTTAAATATATCTTAAAAATTTCCTTCTCAAATATATTGCCATATATTTGAAATGCTACAATTTTGGCCATATTCAATATATTTCAAATATATTTGAATTAATTATATATATATATATATATATATATCTACTGCATGTTGAAATGCGTTTTTATTACAAAATGTATGAAAAATATTTTTAAAAATACATTTCAAATATTGTATGCCTTTAAAAATACAAATCTCACATTTTTGGAATGCATTTACAAATATATGTAAAAATATGTTAAAATTACTGTTTATATGTTATATATATATATATATATATATATATATACACATATATATATATATATATATATATATATATATATATATATATATATATATATATATATATATAGATACTGCATGTTGAAATGCGTTTTTATTACAAAATTTATGAAAAATATTTTTAAAAATACATTTCAAATATACTGTATGCCTTTAAAAATACAAATCTACATTTTTGGAATGCATTTACAAAATATGTAAAAATATATGTTAAAATTACTTTTTTATACTTGTTTATATAATATATGGCAATATATTTGGGAAGAATATTTTTAAAATATATTTTTCTTCCATATGGGAATACTTGTGGGGTATAAACATCACTACATGCAACCTTAAAAAAGCCAACTTGAACTTTTCTAAACACAGCTCAAAGATGATGGTGCTCAGGGACTACTTTAGTGCCCATGTACATGAACCCTTAGGCTAAATGAACATATTGTATCAGCCATAAGGAAAAAGTGTGAGGGGTGTTATGTAGCACATCTGGGTGGCATGGTGATTTTTATCTCTGAAAATTAATCATTTTCAGCACTGAGCTATTGGTGAAAATGTTATAAGCACATACATGTTTAGCACAAGCAAAATGTACATAAAGAAGGGTGCAAATTTTGCACTGATGTTTAAAGAGTACGAGGAGTGGCAATTTAATTCCAGGAATGCCCGCGTTGTAGCATTATGGTGGTGAGTCACACAGCCATGCGCATGTTCTGGCAGGTTCTAACTTGCACTCACCTGGGTTGCACACCAGCTGACTCAGTCTTTACACAGTAGTAGAAGAAATAACACGTGTGTATATAAAATAAAGGGTGTTGTTGCCATCATCCCTATTTTTAAATAGAGAGAATTGTACCTTACATTTGATGTGATTTTTAAAGAAACCTTAGAGTATATATAAACCAAAACAATTGTATAAAAAGATTTGACATTTTATTTGATGCATCAACACATATTTCCCCAATAGAATATAACAATTCTTGAGAACATATTTGCTTGGAAATATATATTAACACATGTGTGTGTTGCACTGTTGGTGGAAAATGAGTGACGAGAATCCGGAGCAGCAAATTAACATAAAATTTTTTGAAAATTGTCAAAATTGCGAATGAAACTAGCTCTGTTACAATAGGTTTATGGTGAACATTCCATGAAGAGTCAAATGTATCTGAATGCCATAGACGGTTTAAGGAGAGGCGCAGAATGATCTCAAGGATGTGAGAAGTGGGCAGCCAAAAAAAGCAAAGGATAGATGCAGATGTGGACAGAGTGTAAACCCTCATATGATCAGATTGACTACTGAGTGTGCAAATGATGGCAAAAGAAGTGAATGTCAGGTTTGAACAGAATTTGGGATAGAGAGAGATTTCAGCAAAGATCAAATCTTGAAAGAACATCAGAAAGAACATTGTCTTCAAGTTTCATCTGATTTCTGAAGAAGGCAGAGGAGTTTGATACCGATCCGTTCCGGGAATTAAATTGTCACACCTAGTATACTGTATATATTGGTGAAAACCTTATTTTGTGTAGCCCTCAACTTAACCCTCAACCCATGTCAACTCAACCCCTAACCTACCTCTAATCCTTAAAGTGGTTGTAAACCTGCAGTACATGCAATATAAAAGAAAGACACCCTACTAATGTGTCCACATAACAAAAACAAATTGCTGTACATTTACCTTAACAGTTTTATCCCCTGCACCTGTCTGAGCCCTCAGAATATCGCCGATCAGTGGGCGAGTCGTGACCTCACTGGACTCTCCTCCCATTTCTACACTCCCTCCAGCCTGACAGCGGGACAGCAAGAACCCCTGGTGGCTGGCCACTCCCCCTCATGTGTACCGACCAATCTGATCTTATGGAAGGCACCACCTGATTTCAGCATGGCCAATAATGCTGAATGCTGAGGTACGGAGCACCAATCGTGGGTAAGCCAGAGGAGGTAAAGGGAGTGATTTGTGGATGGAATGCAGGACATACGGCCCTTTCTCTCCTGCTTGTGCATCAGAGAATTATGTAATCTGTAAGTCACAGGAGAGAGGGGGGGTGACACCATTTTTTGTCATGTGTCGCTTTTTAAACCTGCTAGAAAGTGGAGAGGATTTGACAATGCTGGATTCACTTTTCCTTGCAAGACTGGGGACAGATGGCTTGTGATGCTTAACTGTACCAGGTAAACTGTTTAGTTTATTTTTTTATTTTTCAGGCTTACAACCACTTTAAATTTAGTTTCAACCCCTAACCTCCAATGCTAACCCTTACCCTTTACTTCAATACTTGAAGTATATCTACACCCAGTAACATAAACTTGATTTATTGCAGCTTTCCAATGTATAGACGAGGTGACTGCATTCGTTTTATTTGCTTTTCACACTTTCTCTTTATTTTTACCTGATGATCTGCCAGTAGCACAGTTCATGCTATATTAACCATACAATATTTAAATTGTATGTAAAACTAAAAAAACAAAATTTTATATATTGCCGCTTATCACTCTATAGATGTGGTGGCTGCATACGTATCTTTTTTTCAGCTTTCCTTTATTTTCACCTATTGATTCTGCCAATAACAGACTTCCTGTCTTAGAGTGACAATGTTCACTCATCCTTCTGTATCAGGACAACAGAAGCAGGATAGGACTACCCATATCTTCATCTCTCCTCTCATGTAGTTACTACTAGTGTAGAACGGTAGTAGTTGATGATAGTCAGCAAAGGTAGAGCACATGAAGTTAGTTTACAAGATTTCTGTAAGTATCAAAATGTTTTTTTGCTCTTACAGAACAGATACGACACAGTGCTTTTAATGGTAGATATAGGGCTTATTAACTCCTATGTGTTTGTAGGCAGGTGCAGTCTGCTTTCTCCACTGTAGGTGGTGCCCAACCAGAGCAGTATCACAGCCTGGAGATGAAGTCAGGAGAAACATGGTTTCTCTATGGTTTACTGGTTCCTGGAAGCAGTGTTCCAGTTGGCTACGCTGCATCCAGGTTACCTCTGGTGGTCATCCTGGGTCAGCAGAGCCTTTATAAGTAGGGAAGTGCATCCATATGTCAGGGAAAGTGATAGCAGCAGGAAAAGGTTCCAGACGAGTAGGGACTGGCTAGGGCCTTGCAATTCTGCAAAGAAGCCTCCTCTTTGCGACCAGCCCGGCCTGGCCGCATTCCACCCTCTGAAGACAGATACTGCCAGTGCATCTTTTTCCAGCTGCATCTCTGTATTAAAACTGAACTGTGAATTCCACCCAAGTGGTGTTCTCCTGCTGGGGTTGTTTGTAGTTTGGCATTCTCTTCAATACAAGTTTCAAGTTTTACAGCAACCCAACTGTGTCATTACTGCCTCTGCACCATGCTGCAACTACCCACATTAGAAAATGCATATTTATTTTACTCAAAGTACTTAATGAGTTTTTAGTGAATTTGTGATTTGTTAAGATACACAATAAATTCTGCTTGGATAATTTTTTATGAATTATAGTCTCTAATCAGCTTTCATTTGTGTGATTACACATTATACTGCCTGAAATCTAGCACTAGTTTTATATGAAAAAATATGGTAATAACCAATGACAGAATTGGGTAATGGTAATTTTCTATGGATATTCCTTATTGTCAACTACTGTACAAACTGATTAGTGTATCAGTTTAGCAGAGTATAACTAATAATGTAAATATAAACTAATATGTAAATTTGTATTCTTTAACATATTATTATAATATGATTGACAATTAAGGACCAATTAGAAGAGTCAGGTGTATTGGTATTTTCTATAAAAACAGTGTGTGTGTGTACAGTGAAAATGTGTCATAAAGTGCATGTACATATATAACTCACTTGTGTATATAAAACACACGCGTGTAGGCATACCCTGATTACCAGGTTCCTTGGTATTTTAGTTGTTTGACCATTCTTCCAGAAGTGCATTTATGAGGTCAGTGACTGATGTCTGATGAGAAGGCCTGGCTCGCAGTCTCCGCTCTAATTCATCCCAAAGGTGTTCTATTGGGTTGAGGTCAGGACTCTGTGCAGGCCAGTCAAGTTCCTCCACCCTAAACTCCCTCATCAGGAATAGGAAGGGGCCATCCCCAACCTGTTCCCACAAGGTTGAGAGCATGAAATTGTCCAAAATTTCTTTGTATGCTGACTCTTTAAGAGTTCCCTTAACTGTAATTAAGGAGCCAAGCCCAACTCCTGAAAAACAACCTCACACCATAATCCCCCCTCCACCAAATTTTACACTTGGCACCAGGGGCGGACTGACAACTCATGGAGCCCCCGGGCAATAGGGGATCATGGGGCCCCTGTGTCCTTGCCCAAACTCAAAAAAGCCTATGAAAAAAGGTACCAGGGGCATCTCATGGGGCCCCTACTGACCCCGGGCCCTCGGGCAGTGCCCGAGTTTCCAAATGGTCATTCCGCCCC